TTCTCAGCATTTTACTACAATATTGCATCCAGTTTTTTACATTAACAATAAATAAAGTTCTACATAGTTTAAAGTTATCTCAACAACATATTAGTATGTCGGTAGCAAAGCCAAAATTAAAGTGTTTGAAGGTGTTAGAAAAGTAGATACTACTAGCATATTTACTGGCGTAAGCGATAGCAAAATGTTCGAGATGTACAGAGTGTGAAAGAACGAACAAGAATGTTTTAAGTAGAGTTTGCAAGGAAGAGAGTAACAAATCAGCACATAACAAAAATAAATACAGAATGAAGAGCGAGAAAACGTTGTACCTATAAATGATGTGAGTTGGAAAGACAAGATCCATTAGTTCTACTGACTATTTAATAAGTTAAAGGTTTCATGCCTGATGCATTCTTTATCGCACAGAACACGAGCTAAGTAGGGTATGGATGAGTTTTTGTACTTACTGGTGCGGGCATATAGTTTCCTATATAGGCTTCTTGTTTTCCCTGAAGAGATACATGGGGAGAGTTGTGAGTGTAGAGGGTGTTGTGAGTCAGATAAAATGGATTTCGCCCATTTTTCACATGAGTCCATATGCCTGTCCACCAGAATATTAACTAGCTGGCTAAGTGGCAAGCTGCTTACCCTGCTGACAACCTTTAACATCCTACGTAATAAGGTATAGTCTTTCTTCAATAGCCCAGGAAAGACTAAGGGGGAGCAATAGAGAATAATAGGCAGAATACGGGAGTTAACAAATTGTAGGAGTAAGGGTTGGGTTACACCAGAATGTCTTAACTTCTTGATGTAGAAGGTAAGACGGTATATTTTCTTGGAAATCGTCAAGATATGAGACGACCAGGAAAGATCAGAAGATAGAGTGACGCCTAGGTATTTAATTTCCGACTTGGTTTCAATTTCAGTGCCATCTATGTTGCACACCTCATGAGTGCTAACCAGTTTGTTTAGGTCAGATTTATGCCTAAGGGTGAAATTAACTGTTTGGCATTTGGAGGGGTTTAAGGTTAGACCGTTTTCCTTGGACCATTGGCTAATTTCCGATAAGAAGCCATTTAGTTTAGAGCAGTCACTTTGACATTTGACAGGTAAAGACACAGTTAGGTCATCAGCATATTTGACAAAGTTAATGTCATTTGAAGACGGTAGGTCATGTAGAAAGAAAGAAAAGAGAAATGGGGAGAGTACAGCACCTTGGGGGACACCAGCATCTGTGAGCACAGCAGAGGAGGATTGGCCTTTGTATACGGTGTACTGCATTTTGTTTGAAAAGTAGGAATGCAACCAGTTAGTGACCCAGGACTCGGTTTGTGTCATGGAGAGCTTATTTAGCAAGAGACTTCTAGGCACAGAGTCGAAAGCAGAAGTAAAGTCAAGAAACGTGCAGCGGACATATTTGGCACCTTTGTCTAATGATGAGATAATACTGTTGTGTAAGACGGCTGCAGTATCTAAAGTACTCCTACCCTGTCTGTAGGCAAATTGTTTGGGGTCTTCGAAGCTTTTAAGGGAGGGTTCGAGTTTAAGAAGTATTAGTTTTTCCATGAGCTTTAGAAACGGGGAAGTGATGGCGATGGGTCTGAACTTTACGTTCTTGCTATTGCCAGGTTTAGGGACAGGGACTATTTTAATGTCTTTCCATGGAACAGGTACAACGTTTTCACGGAAAGAAGCATTTAGTATATTAGTTAGAGGAGAACATAAAGCATCTGCACATTGTTTTAGAACATATGCAGGTATGCTATCAGGGCCAAGACTATGTGAGGGCTTAAGAGTTTTAAGACATTTCAAAACATCGAGAGTATTGAAGTCCTGGAAGTTATCAGCTACAAGATTGGTAATGTTAGAAGTGGTTATAGTAGAAGGAGAGCGTAAAAAAGACAGATTAAGAGCATTAACATCAAAGGAGGGAAAAACATTACATCGCTTACTTTTGCCAGTAATTTCATTGAAAAGTTTCCACATGCTGTCAGGAGATTTGCATGAAAAAAGTGTTTGGTTATAGATAGCATTAAGATTTTTGATTTCAGATTTGATTTGAGCATTAATCTTTTTAAGACCTAACTTGTCTTTGCATTTATATAACATTTCTTTTTGCCTGCGAAGTTGTTTGAGACGGGGAGACGAGAAGCGGTCGAGGCGTTTGAACAGTGTTTGTTTAGGACAGCAAATGTCGAGGCAGAACTTAAGATAATCCATTATATTGGTGATTGAGTCATCTAATGTACTTTCATAGAATAGATCCCAGTTGGTATCTTTTAACATGCATCTTAGATTGAGTAAGTTGTCAGATGTGTAGCATCTTTCTTGTGCTTTCGTAGACAGGTGTGAGAAGATTTTAATATGTGTTTTGCTGTATATTTTTGGCAAAACGCGGACAATGCAGTGATCGGAGTTATGTATCGGTGAACGTCTTCGTGTTTCATATACTCCTACGTCATTAGTAAAAACGAGATCGAGTGTTTTGTCAAGTCGAGTGGGAAATTTGACTATGTTTGTGTGACCAAGAGCTTCAAGAAAGGAACAATCTGATGTGTTGAAGTCTCCAGTAATAACGGATAGAGAGTTGTCGAAGTTGGCAGCAGCAAACATGGTGAATTCATCAGCAAAATTAGATAGATCAGATGGAGAGCAACTAGGAGAAATGTACATGTTTGTAATATAGAATTGTTTATACTTGGGGAGGTGTTTGGGGCGACATTTGACAGTAATACAGTCAATGAAGTCATTTGAGAAGGTGAAGCAGACGTTATTTGAGACAGACCATTTGGAGTGAATAAAAGTTGCAACGCCACCACCATTTTTCTTATTACAACATTGACGGTCTTGACGAAATAAAATAAAGTCCTTTAGTGAGATAAGGTTGTCATCATACAGTTCATGCAACCACGTTTCTTGTAATGCGATTATGGCGGTGTTATGATACGTATCAGTTGACATCAGGGATTGTAGGTACATTATCTTATTTGGCAGAGAGCGACAGTTTGAGTTCACTATGACGGGGACCGTAGTTAAGTGTATTGGTGTACGTTTGAGAGCTCTCTGCCAACCACTACGATGTTTCCTTCTTGGTTTCTTTGGAATATGAAAGTCATTTGGTCGTAAATCATTAATAAAGTTACGAGAGTAAATGATTCTGTTAGGATTCATATTAAGTTGATAAATGTATGCTGGTAAACAGTAAACTGGATGCAAAATGTAGATATTTTGGTAGCAGGCCCAAATATTCGAACAGGCCGCCAAGGTCGATGTATTTCGAAGTGAATTTCATATGCATCTTCAAGGTGGCTGCTGGCTATTCAAGTACAGTTTTGGCTTCACTTAGAAGTGAAATGATGCGATTGCTCTAACTCCTCTAGACATTCATTAATAGTTTGAATTGAATTTTTGATTTCCCCGTCAATTGATTGGACCGAAGTGCTCGGTGTCAGGTTGACATGTCGGCTTCTTGTGCAGATGCTTCGACGATGTCTGTGCATTTAATTAGTATAGAATTGGTGGATGGTGGCTAGCAGTGGAATCCAGGATAACGCGCATTTCGTCCTATTTGGGACTCGTCAGCTGGATGTACCTGCATTTCTCAGTGAGTGATGATGTTCCCACTGAGGCTCGAACCCAGTGACCATAGTTTCAAACGTCAAAGCGTTATCCACAAGACCACTTGGGCCAGGAGCACTTCAGTCCGATCAATCGACGGGGAAATCGAGAATTCAATTCAATAATTAATATGACCCATTGCACAAGAGGTGGCTCTCGTGGCCCAAGTGGTCTAGTGGATAACGCTTTGGCGTTTGAAAGTATGGGCACTGGGTTCGAGCCTCAGTGGGAATATCATCACTCACTGAGAAACGCAGGTACATCCAGCTGACGAGTCCCAAATAGGACGAAATGCGCGTTATCCTGGATTCCACTACTAGCCACCATCCACCAATTGTATACTAATTCATTAATATTGTTTAAAAGGTTTCGAATCCATCATATGGCGACTTATCCGCCGTGTATGAGTTTAGCAGATCATGATATTTACCTTTTGTCAGCTTGCTTAACAGTTAATTATCTGGTAAGTTGCTGACTCTCAGATCTACGGGATCCTAGTGTTGTTGGTATCTATATAACCAAATTATGTATACCTCTTATTTTCAACACGCCATATTCACAGATCTTCGTGTTGTGGTACTTCTAGACTTCACGTTATGTTTCTTTGTGTTCCTTTCACATATCCCCACAACTCTGTATCATTTGTCTTCCCTGAAATCAAATGTATGTCCTTGCTATTCACATGACAGAATAGTTCTAAAATATTGCTGCGCCGAGTGAGAAGTAGACATTTGTAAAATCTCAGTGAGATTGAAATGAGTAATTCCAACGTTTCGTTCCGCAATCTGGTCCGAACTTCTTCAGGGAAATTAATCGGGATCAACATAACAGTGCTTTTTATGTATAAAAGGAACATCTTTTGTTTTTAGAAACTTTGTTCAATCATATGAGTCATCAAACAGGTACCAACATGTATAATAAGCAAAATTGTATGAGTTGTGATCAAAATTTGACCTCGGACTTACAAATATTGGTCTACCTGTGTTAAACACTTTGAACAGAGTGTGTTTGTGTGTGTGTGTGAGGGGGGGGGTAAACAGTTATAAAACGTTTCTCAACGTCTCCATATGAAATATAGACAGTCGGGAATTTTGACCAAGTATTTTTAATTAGTGATACATATCCATGTTTTTATTTATTAACCAAGATTTCCTATGCATCAGCTTACAACATCACACCTTCATGTCTGTTCAAACTGTTAGTATCTAGAATTTTATGATTCGAAGTATTTTTATATGCCGATGAACACGTCTCTTTATTATACTACTGACAAATCTAACCAATAGCACTCACCACAATAGTATATTTTGAAACATCTTTTGCGGTAATACGTTTAATCGTTTAAATTAAACTGCACAACACTACCAAAATACTTATAATTTATTTTTCTCTTTATTTAGACGTCTTGAGTCAATTGGAATCAAACCAAACAACAAAGTTAATTTAAAGGTCAGTTATTGTGTACATACAATGTACATATATTTAAATTGATTAAAAAAACCTCGATATACCTTAGAGTATTTACCACAGAACAACGTGTAGAATGGTTAATACCTAAACATTGATGTATATATATTGTCATGTAAACTACAGGAAAGGTTCAGTAAAGACAAAATGCTTCGCTTCAAAGAAATTTTAGAAAAAACGAAATGATTCTCATCAATGAATGTTTATGAAAGAATAGGTTTTCAAGTATTGTTTTTAGTAGGGATTTTGTTTGATTGGATGGAGGATTTCATCATGAGGTGACATCAGTAAGAGAACCACTGGAAAATTTTAGAGTACTGGACAGCTGTTTCGTCCTGGTTTTGGGCTCTTCATCAGCGCGCATCCGCTAAGCAGCACTAGCAACTCTCCCTATTCAGACAGTAACCTGGGATCCTAGTTTGAGGTCGCGATCAGTAGGGTACAGCAAGTTGAAGGTGAGGTAGTAACTCATCGAAGAAGAAGTGTTTCTCTCTGTGTATGTGTGTAAAGAACATTCGTGTTTCTTTTCTCCAGATCGCTTTTTTATTCACACTGACTTTGTGGCGTTTAAATTATGTTTCAAGTTTCAACAGTACTTTACCTAGTGTGTTATCGGTGAGACGGACACCGTTAGATTTATTTTGTCATATAAATCTTGAGGGATTCGATAAATTAATTGTGCGAATTGGCAGAATTTAGAATTTATGGCTGGCCATTGGATCAGGTTCCAGTCGTTCAGTGATCTATGAGGTCATCTTGTACTCGGTATGTCCTGGGTTCGAACCCTGGTTATGGGTGCTTACTGATGAAGAGTTCGAAACGAGGACGAAACAGCTGCCCAGGAAGAATGGATGTTTGGAAATATCTATGGAAAAAGAAGTCCTGAAAAACTTACAGCGGGAAGGCGGAGTAATATGCTATCTAAAAGAAACCGGTTTTCCTTCGCATCAGGGTTTGAAGGTACTGAGGTTAGAGAAAGAATTGCCAAATGGATTAAAATAGTGAAATATCAGGGGCGTATTCATCTATTCAATTCCACTGTGTGAAAAAAGCTAGCGGCGGTCAAACAAAAACTTGGCACCAGTCAATGAAATCCACAACAATTGGTCTAAGGCACGTAGGAAGGTGTAGACTTCCAGGCTGGGGTCCTCGGGACGGTAAAAACCAATGGTTGGAAACAATTGGTGATATGGCTCAAAATCGTTCTCAGTGGCGCAGATGCATCCACTCCTTGTGACTTATGATTTCTAATGAAACTGTTTTGCTCTTCGTTACTACTATTCCTTTGTCTCACACCTCTGTTTACTGTCTCTATTATGCATTTCTTGTACTTTCTTCTCTTGCTTTGTGTGCTACATGGAGCGTGGCGACTTGAACTGTCGCACATTTGTGCAAAGTTCTATGTCGAAAACAGACAGACAGACAGACAGAGACAGTGTTGTAGACTAGATCGATTTCCAACTCCCATTAACTTCAAATGTGTTTTTGAACTGACATTTCCTCAGGGTACGGAGGAAGAAAGAAGAGATGATTGTCTCCTAGCATTCTTGAGTGTGTCGTGAAGAGTCTACAATCCAGAGATTCTGTTTTGACTCACAGCCTCGAAACTTGGTACCTGAGTGATACAGGACACCAGATTGACATAATCCATGATGATGATGATGATGAACAGACAACGCACTTCGTGAATACTTCGAATCGCTAAGGTTGTCACCATCGGAGGAATAAATGAAGTCTGAATTACGTGTTCAAAAAAGAGACTTACTATCTATCTTGGTTAGCACTGACGCCTTCATTTCAACTCATGGGAATGTCACTTTACTTGTGTGACGAAACTTAACGGATTTGTTATATCTAACCTCTTTCATTTTTGGTTGAATAACCCTTCATAGGATTGCGTAATTATTTATCTTCACTTTAAACTCCAGAATATTCCTCTTTTTACAATATTACATATCGATTGTAATTGATTATTCCAACTCCCTGTATCATCTACCTATCGTCTTCATTTTCGATGTTCCCATTCTACTCTCATTTAAAGCATATTAAAATTACGTCATGTCGATTACTTATTTTGTTGTTGTACCTGGATGCTGCCTATACGAAAACCTCATGGCATAAAATGAATCCATGTTGATACAGTTCTCAAACAAGTCCAATCTCGCATTCACTTCAGCAGGTTTGAGAGAGAGAGTAACGCAAAATCCCAATTGAGTTTCTCCACTGTCGAATGGTCCTTACACTTTCTCAAGCTGTGTAAATTATCCATCGAAAGGTTAGAGAGAAAAGGAACAAGAAGTTCAGCAAAGATGTTGATGTTTTCATCGATTTCATTCTCAAAAACAACTGTACAATTGATTTCTGTGCATACATCATTTTGCGTAGACACAACTATTATGTAATCTTCTTCTTCGAAGCCCTTGTAATCTTTATTCACACCTTCAGATTTTCATGTCAAGTTGAAAATTATCATGACCTTTAATCTTCCCCGTTACTATGTGGAATTGAATAACAATTCTATCTATGTGAACTAATGCGTGTCAGTGCGATTGTACAGTTGTTTTTTGAGAATGAAATCAGTGAAAAGATGAACATCTTTGCTGAACTTCTTGTTTTTTTAACTCGTATGTCATGATGTGTATTATCGACGATTTAAAAAAGTGCAAAGACTCTTTGACAGTGAAGGAACTCAATGGCTTTTCGAATTTATCTAATCCTGTAAAATCTACTCTCATCCATCCATCCATCCAGTTATTCAAATGACATTGTGTTCATGTGTTGTAGGTTATTTAGCTCATAAAATTATCTCACAGTATATTATAACCTTATGAAACACATGAAACGCATTTTGATCAAACGATCCAGTTTCTACACAAAGCTGAGTTCCATGATATGTGAAGCAGTTTCCTACAACGAAGAAGGCTTATGAATGAGGATATTCAATATCTCATAAATAAGAATAAAACTTGTGCACTCTGGTAGACTATGATTCCATTATGGGTAAAATTTGTTTTGATAAAGTCTCACAGTGTTTGTTATACAGTAATGTTTACTGATGACCACGTTTCGAGCAAAATTTATTGCCACTCTTTTTCATATCAAGGTATTAGTCACACAACTTTGTAACTTCGTTTATATAAATCCGTCATTATTTTTCATCTATTGATGTGATTGGTAGTAGTATTTAACATATTTCGGGTATGAACAAAAATTCACATTTGAATCAGAAAATGAACAAGGGGAATTAGCCATGATATTAGATTGTAAAATAAAACGAACGGAAGAGGGTAAGCTGTACACTACCGTTTATAAAAAGCCAACACATTCTAATATTGGATATTTGGACTTTAATTCATATCATCCGTTAACTGTTAAGGCAGGCTTAATTAAGTGTCTAACAAACCGAGCAGTAGAACTAAGTAGTACAAGAAAAGACCTGAATGATAAAGTAAAACATTTAGAAGAAGCGTTGGTATCAAATAACTCTCCTATAAAATTCATTAGGAAGATCGGTAAAGGCCAAAACCAAAATAAAAATAATGAGAAGACAAGTAAAGATAACATATGTAATAAGAGAGAATATAAGGCTTCTACAGTTCTACCATATAGAAGGGGACATCTGAGACCCTACGTAGGATTCTTAATAAAGCAGGAATTAGAGTGGCATTTAAACTTACAAGCTAAGGTAAGAATGGTTGACCCCGAGAAGATAAGTAATTTCGAAAAAAAGCTCTCCGATTGCACTGCATGCATTAACAGAGCACAAACACACAATAGAGTGAGACAGTTAAAATTCTAAAAAGTAATCTAGGTAGGTGTAGAGAGAGGGAGAGGTTGATTACTGAATCTTTGTTCCTTGAGTCTACACCCAACACACATGCAATAGAAATGATTCATCACTCATACCCGAAATATGAAAAATACTACTGCCAATCAAATCAAGCGATGAAAAATAATGATGATGGAATTATATAAACGGAGTTAGAAAGTTATGTGAGTGAGTACCTTGATATGATTATGAGCAGCAATAAATTGTGGTCGAAGCGTGGTCATCAGTGAACATTATTGTATGACACTGTGAGACTTTATCTAAACAAATTTTACCCATAACTACCGAATATTCAATTTTTTCTTATCCGCCTCATTTGGTGGGAGTCTACCTTGTCTTATCCTACATTAATTGACCTTATTTTCCGAAGATTACTCTTAATGCTAACTTTACTTCTCATCTTGCTCTATCTAATTTGAAAAATCGAACAAATTTATCATTAGTGGTGAGATATACAATCTTCTGTTATTTATCTTTAATGTTGTATATGTCTCACTACAGAATGAATTGTTTTTCGCAGGCCATGACTTTTTATTGTAAGCTGAATATCTCACAGACTCCAAACAGGTGTGGTGCATGCACCAATGATCTTGGTTTTAAGCTTTAGCTTAAAATTTTCAGCCTAACTAACTAGACCCTTCTATCGATCTAACAGGGCTAAGACTAAATGCCAACGTAACTCATTGATTTTTGCTGTAATTTAGTTTGACCCTTGATAGCTCTCTTCAAACACAATCCTATTTTAGGTAAGTTTTCATATTGAGATTATCAGCTACAAAGCATCCTTACGTTGATTAGTGAAGATTTGCTATGTTACTAGCTAACCCTCCTATTTTAGGAGGGTACATCTAACGTTTATGTAACCTAGTTGATCACTTTAAGATATGTGATCGATGCTGTGATTGACTGTAAGCCTTTTCATATTGGATTTCATCATGTGTTGACAGCAGTTAGAGAACCAGTGTAGCAGTAGCAGTAGCAGTGTCACGTGAAGTTCCTGGTTTCGAACGCCGGTGGTGGGTGCGTACTGATGAAGAGTCCCACACCTAGAGCGAAACAAACTGTCTACTACCCCCCACCTGTTTTTCCAATGGTTCTCTGACCGATGCCACCTAGTGATGAAATCTTCTAACCAATCAAATCAAATCGCTGCAAACCAACCTTTTTACATTCTTTACCTTCAATAGTCATCTTGTGCAGACCTGTAGAACGACAAGATTTAATACAACCATGGGGGAGCGGATATGTCTTCGTTACGTACTTCCAGTATGGCCTGGTTACTGTCTGTGCAAAATGTATAAAGAGAAAGTATTCCCTGATAGAATTTCATTTCTACAGTCAGACATTTTATTTTATTTTACAGATTGCTGTTATTGTTGCCTTTTTCCCCTCTTCTTCTTCTTCATAATTGACAGAGAGATGGACTTCTTGTACAATTGAAAAAGTTGTTCAATGTAAATGTATTGATTTATTGTGCTTTAAAACATGTAAGTCTAATTTATTAGATTGTATTTAAATAAAACGTTATTTTTTATCTTTTATTATACTACTTTATCGTTTATAAACATTATATTCGTAAAATCTTAGCGAAGTGGAAATGCGTAATTCCAACATTTCCTGTGTTCGGCAAACTGGTCCGAACTTCTTCAGGGAAATTATTATTATTATTTCCTTTAGTTCCTAGAGGAACATAGGGCTTTAGTCGCGCGTCTCCATTGCATTCGGTTCTCTGCTAGAGTTTTCACCTGGCTCCAAGTCTGCTCACATGTTTTCATCTCCTTTTCACATAACCTCATCCAAGTCATCCTCGACTGACGACCAACTCGCCACTTCCCTTTCGGGTTCCACTCGAGGGCCTGTCTAGTGACGTCACTTGATGGTTTCTCCAGAGTATGGGTCAATCTACCTCCATTTATTCCTGCTTATTTGTTGTACAATCGGTTTCTGCTGGGTTGGTTCGCTGCCAGAGATCCCTGTTGCTGATTTTTTCTGGCCAGCCATCTGATCTTGAGTATTGAGCGAAGATAGCTGTTGATGAAGGTCAGTAGTTTGTTTTAGATGCTCTTTATGAGGCGCCAAGTATCAGATCGGTATAGTGAGTAGCACTGACTTCACATTGGAGTTGAAAATCCGGATTTTATTTTAGAAATTAATCAAAATTAACATAACAAAGGTTTATGTCTATCGTAAAAAGGACATCTCTTCTTTTTAAAAACTTTGTCCAATCATATAAGTCATAAAACAGGCATCAAAATATAATAAAGAAACAAAATTGTCTGAACTGTGATCAAAATTTGACCTCAGACTAGTAAACATTCGTCTTTTCAAGAGTTGGTTGGTAAGGATTGTATACCAGTATGGCTGAATGGTATATGAGCTTGCCTTGTAACCGGAAGGTCCTGGGTTCAAACCCTGTTGGGGCGGCGGGAGTTTGTACTGCCGATGATTCGCCAGCTAGGATGAAACAGCAGTCCAGTACTCCCTGGTTTTCAATAGTTCTCAAACTGATATCAATCCGTGGTTAAACTGATAAAAAACATTATTAGCCTACTTTACAAATATGGTTTTACAACAATTAGTCCCTGTGATAAATTTGAATAAGAAGACATTTAAAAGACGAATTTCGAGAGATGTCATTTCGCAGTTGCTTTATAATTAACATTGTTAATAATAATAAAATAAAATGCATGACAATCACACAGTTATATGGAACAAAAGTAAGTACATACTTAATGACTAATCATATTCGAATAGATCAAGCAGTCCATGGTAGACAAAGGTTGAGGTACAAGCATATAGTCTTTTGTACTGACTTCTAGTTGTACCAGATGAGATAGAAATGTGGGGAGAAATGAGAACAGGGGTGAATGGGTGTTGAAGGTGAGACAATCTGGATTTAGACCACTTCTTTAATGAGTTCAGATGTCTATCAACGAATGTCGTAAGTGACAAGCTGACTGACTAAGTTGCTTAACACTTGCCCTACTGACAACCTTTCCTACCCTTCTCACTATGACAGAGTCATTTTTGAGTAGACCAGGAAAGACTAAGTTTGTGGTAGGGCTAGCAGTAAAGTACAGTAGGTAAGATACAAGAGTTAACGAATTGTGATAGCAGAGGTTGTGAGATTCCTGATAGTTTTAGCTTGTTAATGTAGTAGCTGAGACGGAACATCTTCTTGGTGGTCAGTTGAATATGGGAATATGGGATTATCCAGTAAGGTGAGAGGATGGAACTATACTAAGGTATTTTGTGTTACACGTTGTTTCTAATAAAGTCGCCGGTATGCTACAAGCATCGTGTGTACTAACTAACCAGTTGTTGTAGATCACGTTTGTGTCTAAAGGCGAAGTGAATAGTCTGTCATTTTGAAGATTGAAGGGAAGACAACTGACTGATGTTGAACAAAATTCTATTGAGTTTGGAACAGTTTGATTGGAAGTTGGCACAGGAAGTGAGACGGTCAGATCGTTAGCGTGTTCGACTGAGTTGATTTCATTCGGAAGAGGTAAGTGATGTAAGAAGAAAGAAAAGAGAAAAGGAAAGGAGAGAGAACAGCATCCTTGAGGAACATCAGCTTCAGTAAGCAATGCAGAGGACAATTCACCATCGTACACATTATACGGTATTCTGTTTCAGAAATGACAGGATTATGAGATATCAAGGTATGCTTTATTTAGAAGACATCATTTCTTCAAATAAAGTATAATTATATTTCAATAGTTTACACACAATGATAAGTTTTGTTATTAGTAATATTTCGAGCAAAATTACTGCCTGTTGGAATTGTTTTATCCACAGATTTATGAATTGTACTCAAATACATAGTTCATTATTATTTTTTTTGCTCATTCATGTTGTTCTGTATTCAGAATTATATTCCAAGTTATTGATAGTTGTACTGAGTCACCCTTGTTACTTATCTCCAATGTGACTTTAATGAATATCGATCCTGTTATAAGTCTTTCTTTCCATTTGTTCATGTTCGTTTTTTAAATACACACATTGTTCCAATCGATATTGTGGTTTTTGTCCCATGCATGTGAAGCTACCGATGAATTTTTTTCAAGATTCTTGTAAGCTTGTATTCCTGTTACTTCACCTTTAGTTAGGCGTTTACGTTCATTCACTCTTATTTCGAATGATCTGGACGTTTGCCCCCCACATATTTAGTTGGACAGTCAGCACAAAATATATCAAATTGTTTTTATCCATCATTTTTATGGGATCTTTCAGTGGATTTATTTTATTTTTGATTAGATTTGTCGGTTTCAACGTTGTTCAAATGCTGATATTTTTGAGGTTCCTTTAAATTGCCTCTAATGTACCATCGGCTATATGATATTGTGACTGTCTTTTTTTTCCATTCTTCCATCTTCTTAGTCTCCAGTTTTACCCTCTTTTCTCTCTTTTTTATATTATCTTTTGTAAATTCTTTTGGGTAGTTGTTTTCGAGTATCATTTTGAATAGGGCGTTTATTTCTTTACACTGGTCCTCTGGTGTTGTCGTAAGTCTACGTATTCTATCTGTAAGACCTTGTATTAATCCTCGTTTAACGGTGAGTGGATGAGCTGAATGATAATCAAGGAATCTTCCAGAGTGTGTGGTCGTCGTCGTTTTTATGCTACCATTTGTCATTGGATGACGGTCTAGGGGAGATGGCTAAACCCTGATTCCAAACCTCCAACGACTGGCGTATGAAGCTCACTGGAGCTCACCGGCAGACGTATGGACAAAGGGCTTGTTGGATGTCCTGGATGTCTGGCCCCATTCAAAAAGGCGTATGAACCGAACTCCGGTCACCGGCTGCCAATGGATAGTGGACTCCTTACTCCACTCCTACTGCCTTGTAGGTCACACTTGGCTGTGTGAAGGCTAGAGCTGCACTCTCAAACAAAAGGCCGAGCGATGCTGGGGACATCACTCGTACCAAATTCCCATGAAACTTCATCAACTCTCTTACAAATTGCCGCGCCTGGGCAGCGATGATTCGAGACGTTCATGAAGCCGGCTCATCCTCCCGTAGGAGATAGCCGAAGTAAAGTAAAGTAGTACCATTTGTCATTCTTTGTAGTTTGCAGTCTAACATAGGCAGTTCCCCAATTTTATTCCATAGTGAATTTTATTGACTCGATATAGCTGTTTATATGTGAGAAGAGTTCCTCAATATTGTCTTTTTTTCACTATTATTAGTTTGTCGTCTACCTATCTCCACCAACATTTTAGTGATGACCTGAATGGTTTGATTCTGAATACAAAACAACATGAATGAGCAAAAAAATATTATAATAATGAACTATACATTTGAGTACAAATCATAAATGTGTGATTAAAACAATTCCAACAGGCCCTGATTTTGCTCGAAATATTACCAATAACAAAACTTATCATTGTGTGTAAACTATTGAAATATAATTATACTTTATTTAATCTAATCCACAATACTCAAACTCAAATACTGATATTAAAACATCATTTCTACATGACGTATTGTGAGGTTGATTATGCAGTAACATTCGTGTTGTGTTTCGTCGGTGTAATAAATCTGTCTGTCTGTCTGGATTCAGCATAGAACTTGGCACCGAAGTGCAGCAGTTCGAGCTGCCACGTTCCAAATAGCACACAGAGGTAGACAAGAAGATGAGTGGAGAGAATCAATAGAGTTTGACAAGTATGAGAGTGAAACAGAATGGGTAATGGTAGAAAGGAATATGAAAGATTACAGAGACTGAATACATCTGCGCTGGCCATTGACAACGATTTTGAGCCATGTCACCTATTGTCTCCAGCCATTGATTCCTAGAGTCCCGAGGCCCCCAACCCGGGAGTCTGCATCTCCCTCCCTACCTGACTCAGTTTTACTGTCAAGGATTTCGTGGATTGATGAGGCCATGTTTTTGTTTGGCCACCACTGGCTCTTTTCCAACCTGAACCTATGTCAGCTAGCAATGCCCGTCGGGGGAGGCGGTGGTTAGGCATGCGCACCACGTGACCTAGCCATCTTAGTCTATGTAACTTTATAGCCTCGTCGATTGACTTTCCCTCTTTGCCCAACACTCTACGCCTAACGTCAACATTACTTACCTTGTGAAACCACCTAACGTGAGACAGAGATCGCAGACATCTATGATCGAAAGCAGTTAACCTTTTCATGTCTTCAACGCGTATTGGCCATGTTTCAGAGCCATAGAGAAGGACGGAGCGAACTGATGAGCAGTACACACGTCCCTTGGTTGATAGCCGGATGTCACGCCTACGCCAGAGATGGTGTAAGTCAGCGAAAGCAGCTCGAGCTTTTCGGATCCGTGCTGAGATTTCATCGCCAATCAGTCCGTTGGTGCTAATACAATGTAATAAATCTGCTAACGGTGTGCATGTATTCTATTGAGGATTTCAAGTATTTAGAAATGTTTTGATTTGACGCGAACTGGTGTCATATGTCTCTTGTCCTTTGTGTGTACTGCAGACTGAATTCTGTCAGTCAACTTTGCATTGTGGCCGCCACCATGTTAGGTGGCAAAGTTACCACGATCATGGTACACTCAGAATTCTTGTTATTAGATGGTTGGTGGCAAACTTAACTGACAGATAGAATTCTGTGTGCAGTAAAAACAAAGGATTAGACACATGACACACTAGTTATTGACTAATGTCCAATCAAAGGTATCTAATGCAATCCTACAAGAGGTCAATCGCGAGCCCGAATAGCTAGCTCCTCATTGGTAACATCTCTGACTGCAGGCGGTGCTGGATGACAACGTGGATTCGAATTTCAGAAGAAGGGGGCGCACCGTGTCATGTGGCTGATTGCCGCCAACCAACTTATTTTTAGAAATCTGTTTAACTACAACTTCACTATAGATGTTATAATAGAGAAGATTTGTAGCTCAGGTGGATAATTTGCAATTAATAGTGTTCTCTGAGCTGGTTGGTTTAGTTGCGGAACTTTTGTCGTCCGACGTCTGGACAACATCCCCCTTCAGCGCAGTATTGTGTCTTCCGGTAACCATCTTTACATATGTATTGACCATTTTCTATTGACTTGGATTTTAAACTTTCTGGTTATCTGAAAAAAGGAGATAAAATTAATACCATTTACAAAATAAATTGTATGAACTGTAATAGGCATTACATCGGCCAGAATGGGTGTCCCTTTCAAATCAGAATCCGGGAACACAAATCACCCGTGAAAAGACACAATGTTCTTTAGTATCAATGCATGTAAACAATTATGGACATCAGTTTGATTGGGATAATATCGAAATCGTAGACAGAGGAAACACCAAAAGTGCAGTCAGGGAATTCCTAGAAGCCTGGTACTCAAACGAAAATGCAATTAACAAACACGTTAACATATAGACCAAATATACCAACTAATAAAAAGTAAATCAGGTGACCAGAAAGTTTTAAATTCAAGTCAATAGAAAATGGTCAATACATATGTAAAGATGGTTACTGGGAGAAACAATCATATTACTCATGAAGAAATTTAAATCAGTTCACTTTATGCTAAATATTGCGCTGAACGGGGATGTTGTCCAGAAGTTGGATGACGCAAGCTCTGCAACTAAACCAACCAACTCACAGAACACTATTAATTAATTACTATAGATGTAAATTCTAAATATTACTACTCCTACGACTAGTTGGTGAAATGTTTTTAGAGGAAAAAGCACCTTTTTCAATCTCATATACACTGCGTTGATCAATAATGCTTTCTTTACATTGAATATTAATTCTCTATATTTGTGTTCATTTGTCTGTCTGTCTGTTTGGATGTATGTGTGTGTGTGTGTAACGATGTTGTATTCAGCGTCAACCGGCAAAATTGTCTGAAATTCGTGTCTGTATGAATCCTTCTTTGGATTTCATCAGCTGTCCGAAATCGGAAGAAACAGAAGAAGGAGAACACCATAGCCAACAACAACAACAGCAATACTCCGTTAATGTTTGTTATGCTGATGAATTCAGAGTTAATAATAATAATGATGTCTGTGACACACACTTACCATGGTTTAATCTTTTTCCCAGTTGTCCAAGTCGACAAGAACAAAAAGGACAGCAGCAACAACCGATGTGTACACTGCCAATGTTAACATCAAATTCACCATGTCCTGAAGAGTTAATATTTCCAGATTTCACATAATTTATAGCCTTTTTTAAATTATAATGTATACTCTATAAATGAAAGAAAAAAGCAGACAACATGGCTGTCATATACTACTTATGAATTTATATCTGTTGTTTTGTTGTTATTGTTGTTTGTTTGTTTTTTTTTCCTAAAAATGTTATTAACCCGTTACTTTATCTCTATTCATCTCCTCTTATTTTTGTATGCTTTTTTTTTAAATATGTACACTGATCTGTTAGTTATTTGTATTATTTTATTACTATTATCACCATTATTATTATTATTATTCTAGTTTTAAATTTTCCTTTTTTCTGTCTATGTTTGAAAGAAAGCAAAAACTTAGAAAGATAATTAAAAAAATCTTGCAATGCATGCACCTTTTATGGTATCTTAGTATATTTATGATTTTATGTGTCATCTTCAACACCACCCCCCCCCCAGCCCAACCTTAACTTGTTGAGATGATGGTTAGTGTTAGCTTGTATGAAATTATGGTAGAATTAAAGTATTATTTTAATTTTTTTACTGTGATATTTTTCATGGCTTTTTTTTTATTGAATTTTGGTGTAGTGTGAAGTCATAGTACCATCAGCCAACGCCAACGGGTTGATCTCTGACGAAATCTCAGCTGAGTACGGATACAGGGGGCTGGTTTCGCATTTGCCTGTTTACACCGTCTCTAGCGTAGACGAGATATTCGACTATCGACCAAAGGGCGGTTGTACTGTTCATCAGTTCTCTCCGTCCTCCTTTTTGGCCAGCTGTGAGACCTGGCCACTGAGAGTGGAAGACATGAATAGGTCGGCTAGCTGTCTTTGATCATAGGTGCCTGCGTTCTATCTCCCGTGTGAAGTGGTATGATAAGGTGAGCAATATTGAGGTTAGGTGTCAAGTACTAGGTAAGGAGGGGAAATCAATCGACGAGGTTGTGAAGTTACAAAGACTGAGATGGTTAGGACATGTGTTACGTATGCCTAGTCATCGCCTTCCTCGACGAGCAATGTTAGCGGATATAGGGTCAGGCTGGAAAAGAGCACGCTGGTGGTGGTCAAACCAAAACATACTTCACCAGTCAATGAAATCTACAACAGTTAGTTTAAGCCAGCCACGTAGGAAGGTGTAGACTTCCTGACTGACTGGTTGGGGTCCTCGGGACGGTAAAAACCAATGGTTGGAAACAATTGGTGATATGGCTCAAAATCGTTCTCAATGGCTGTCTCAGATGCATCCACTCCTTGTGACGTATGATTTCTATTGAAACTGTTTTGTTCGTCGTTACTACTATTCCTTTGTCTCACACCTCTGTTTACTGTCTCTATTATGCATTTCTTCTACTTTCTTCTGTTGCTTTGTGTGGTACATGGAGGGAGTGTGGCGACTTGAAGTGGTGCACATCGGTGCAAAGTTCTATGTCGAAAACAGACAGACAGAAGTGATTTCAGATGGTTGACGGGTCGAGCGGCGTGGTGGGTGGCTGTAGGAAAATCGGCAGCAAGCCTTGCTTGACCTTGATTTCGTGCTGGTTGCTCTCACAAGTCGGCGAGGCGTATATGCCATCTTGAAGAAACTCAGTAGTCATGTGGATGACAGTAGCAACAGGACTAGAAGGGAGCTGAGTTGTATGAAGACTGCAGATACGCTTTGTTGATGGGTGAATGCCAGTAATCACGAAACCTAGGCCAGACAAGGCTTCCTGCTGATCGCTTCTAACCGTATAATAACAACGATGATTCTGATGAGTACATCGTGATACCGAACCACCTAACCTGGTGACCACATTGCGTACTTGGCTGGTAGGATTTAGTTTGCAGTAAACAAAGGAATAGACACACGCAATCAGAGTATGTCTGTCTGCTTTCGACATAGAACTTTGCACCGATGTGCACCACTTCAAGTCGCCACACTCCCTCCATGTACCACACAAAGCAACAGAAGAAAGTAGAAGAAATGCATAAGAGAGACAGTAAGCAGAGGTGTGAGACAAAGGAAGAGTAATAACGAAGAACAAAACAGTTTCATTGGAAATCATAAGTCACAAGGAGTGGATGCATCTGCGCTCATCCATTGAGAACGATTGTGAGCTATATCACCAATTGTCTCCAGCCCCCATTGGTTTTAACCATCCCGAGGACCCCAGTCAAGCAGTCTACACCTTCCTACGTGGCTTAAACTGATTGCTGTAGATCTCATTGACTCAACCATGTTATGGTTTTCCAGCCTGACGTATGTCAGCTAACATTGTCCGTTGTTGAGGAAGGCTATGGCTAGGCATGAATCGATGTAACTTCACAGCCTTCTCTATTGATTTCCCCTCCTTACCTCACGCATAACCTCGATATTGCTTACTCTATTATGCCACTTCACACGGGAGATAGAACACTGGCACCTATGATAAAAGACAGCTAGTCTTTTCATGTCTTCCACTTTGAATGGAACGGAATGTATACATATATATATATATATATATATATATATATATATATACAACAGAAGGATTCTAAAACTTAGAGAAGCGTGTCATATAAAGAAGGAATCTGCGAAACTTTACCCAGGATTCTTAACAAGGTGGTGATTAGAAGGTTATCGCAACTCTCAAGGAACACTCTTGGAAACAAATTATGCCGTTGATGAGGTTTTGTTGAGTCTATAAATACGAAATAACCTGGATTATCTAGCACTTTGTATTGATTGAGAGGTCAAAGTAGCACGCCAGTGTGAAATATATTAGTTTTAGGATTTCATCATTTGCTGACATTGGTTAGAGAACCATTGAAAAACCAGCACTGGAGTACTGGACAGCCAGGTGTTTTATCAGTCTAGTTTGGGTCTCTTCGTCTGTACTCACCCACCGCAGTTCGAAAGTAGGCCTTTGAGCTCACCTTATAATCAGAAGCTTCTGGGTTGAGACGGTAGCGGTGGGTTCTCCAATGGTTCTCTAACTTACGTCAGAAGTTGATCGAACCTGTAACAAATCAATCAAATCCCTGCAAACCAACATTTGATAAACAATTCAGGCACATTAGTACGTAGTATTTTATAATCAAGAAAATATAAGTTTACGGGGATGAGATATATTTTATGTTGCGAGAATATATAAATGAAAACCACAAAATACAAATGAGACAAATTGAGTGTAAGTTTGAGGGGTGATAGATAACAAATGTCATGATAAATTCATTGGCCTACCAGCATTTCCATTCATCAAAATGCTCAAGCTTCTCTGCATTTCGTATCACTTTAATCGTGCAATTATATCAAATGATCACTACATGAACTCGCGCACATATTTAATTAGCTTGATTCTTGGGGTAGCTGAAATAGAAAAAGAGTTAGCATTGCGGGACTGCAGAGCTCAGGGGACAAGTGCTTGAGATGGGTCACACACATCCTGTGTGGACTGGTTTCTTGGATTGGTTCCGGCTGGTTGCAGACCAACGTGGGGTGAGTTGGGGTCGACCTTTTCCATCCCCCTTTCTCCAGAGTGGAGAGATAGCTTAGCTGGTTAGCATTCGGGTTGTCTGAGGGAAACAGCTTACTGTGGCTGTCACATCCTTGTTCCGCAGCAGTCGGACTTCGCCCACAGACCCCCAGCATAGTGTAACTACAAGAATTCACACATTCTACCGGTAGCTCCTTTCAGTCTGATGGCTATCCTAACAATCTTCCAGGCATGGTAGGACGTAGTGGAGGAACAATACTTCTATTCAGTGTAGCTTGTTGGGTCATTGCGATGTGCAAGCCCGTCCACCACGTCAAGGCAGCAGCTGTCGGTCGGGGATTAGCCCCCACTAAACGCCGTGCAATTCTTGAAGGAAATGAAGAGAAAGTGTACAACACTGACTCGCTGTTCATATGCAACAAAACTACATCACATGGAATACTTCAGACTATTACTTCACATGTAAATCCTGTATGAAGAGTAAATACTTTGGAAACTACTGTAATATGTGTTCCCATATTATCTGAAATAAAGCCCTACTACTACTATTATTATTATCATTACTGGCAATGAGTCCACCCAAATCGGGCTAGTTCTGCAATCCTTATCTAACTGTAACATCAATTCGTGGTCTAACTTGCAAAGTAATATAAATTATACGTTGCAGAACACTGAATTGTTTATAGCTTTTGAGATGAAAATATGCACGATTAATAGTGTGGTTATTTTAAATTATAGTGTATTATTCTAGCCTACAATTAACTGTTTCACCGTTCACATAATAATAAGCACATTGAAAGTAATCTAGTCGAATTAAGTGTTAACACTAGCAAAAGGGAATGATAGCTTCATAAAAAAAGATGATTAAGAGATTTCCAGCATATACTCTATTGGCTTTGATGTTGATGTTGTTTGAAGCCGCTTGTAGTATTTCGAAGATTATAGGAACAGATGTTTATAGTGGTCCACATCTCATATTACAACATGACCTGAATGGGAAATGTAGAATTTTCTTTGGTAATGAAGATCTGCACGTCACATAACAAGTTGTAGTATCTCTCCAACAGTATCAAAATGGTTACAGGATTTCATCATTAGCTGACATTGGTTAGACAACCATTGGAAAAGCAGCACTGGAGTACTGGACAGATGTTTCGTCAGCCTAGTCTGGGATTCTTCGTCAGTATGCATTCTCTCACACAGTTTGAACCCAAGAGCCTCTGGTTACAAGGCAAGCGAGCTCGTAGACCATCGAGGCACTGGTACCCGAACCAATGGCCTCCATTCGATAAATTCCGCCTTCTGCGAATTCACGACTTAGTGCGACCGTAAACCAATGTCATCGGTATCAAGTATTTGTCCTCACAGCCGATCTGCTGCACTCTGCGAGCTCGCCTTGTAACCAGAAGGTCCTGGGTTCGAACCATGTTGGCAGCTGTGTGCAGCTGAAGACTCCCCAACTAGGTTGGCAAACAGCTGCCCAGTAATCCCTGTATGTTTTCCAATGCTTCTTTAACCGATGATGAAATCCTGTGACAAATCAATCAAATTCCTTCAAACCAATAGTTCAGTATCA